ATGATAAAGGGTTCTTCTGTGTTCTAAAAGCAGTATGTAGCCTCTGAGATGTGCAAATGGGCTGTGCATATGTGTGAAAGAGACAGGCCCTGTGGAACTCTGGCTACATGTGACCAACCGACTGTGGGTAGCAGGGATAGAAGCGGGGAGCCGATGAGATGGATGCTCATGAGTCACAGGTACCCCATTAAGAGGCAGGGCTGCTCTTTCTTCAAGGAGGCCCACCCTAGGACCCTGCCAGTCAGTGCCATAATTTTTCTAATAGCTGGGCAGGGCTGGCAGTGAGACATTTGCAAGCTTTCCCTCTGTGCCTTCTTATGACCGAGGGCACCCATTTGCCTGAATACACAGAATTCATGGGCACTCTGTGAAGGAGGGGCTGGCCAGATGCCACCAACAGCACCAACCAAAGAGAGAAACAGAGGGATCCAATCGCACTCTCCAAGCCACTGGCCTGGGAAGGGGAAAGGACAGACAAAGGTCATAGCTGGGCTTGGTCACAGGAACTGACCCGGAGCTGCTGACTAAGGGCATCTCGAAGGATGTAATTACCTTCCTCCCGTGGGGCCCCAGAACAAGGAAGCCCTACAGCTGAAAAACAGTAATTACCAGGCAGATCGAGAGGACAGCCTGGGACTCGTCCCTGAAGTATAAAAGGAGGACTGGTGGATGTGGAGTCATAAGACCTGGGGTCAAGGAGGGTTCTACTCTCCTAGCTGGGAGACACTGGGCAGCTCATGAGCTTCCTAGGACACTCAGCTGTCTCGTCTATAAAATGGGGTATTCTCCTGCCCCCCGACCTCGTGAAGCTTGGTTTCCATTTGAAAGTGCTTCATAAACACCCACAAATTAGCATTATTATTCTACATCACAGGAGATACTCCCCAAACCCAGCCCTGGACGAGCACGGTGAGCTGGGGGTTGAACAGGAGTAAAAGGGAGAGTGGGAAGTCATTATTCAGCTGTTCTCCTTCTCCTGCAAAGCCACTGAGTGCCCACAGATTAGGGAAGTGGCCACACTTGCTCTTCAGTGTTTGATGAAAGTCCCAAAAAAGGGCCAGCTGGACATCATAGCCTCCTCTGCAAGAGAAGGCCTTGGAGAAAAGCTCAGGCTGGCAGCGGGAGAGAATGAGGCTGTGGAGGTAAGCTCCATCTGGGTGACAGAAGTGGGTGGCCCTCCTGCCTTAAAAGTAATATTAATCATACATGAATTACTTTGATATTAATTATATTTCTAAAAGCAAGGGAGCTACAGTAATCAAGGCAGTATGATAATGGCACGAGGACTGACAAACGGATCAATGGACCCTAAGAGAGTCCAGAATATGGACAACTGGCTTCAACAAAGGTCCAAAGACAACCTAGTGGAACAAGGACAGTCTTTTCAACAAATGGTGATGTAACAACTGGGTATGTAAAAAAGATAATCTTCAAACTACACATTGCACCCTATACAAAAACAAACTGAAGTGAAACTTAAAACTCTAAAACTTCTAGAAGAAAACAGGAGAAAATCTTTGTGACTTTTTGGGATAGACAATGATTTCTCAGATACTACACAAAAAAGCACTTCATTAAAAAAAAAAAAAAAAATCAGACCGCAGCAAAATTTAAGTTTCTGGTCTTTGAAAGACACTGTTAAAGGAATAAAAAGGCAAGCACTAACTGGGAGAAAATATTTGCAAAGCGTATATCTGATAATAGACCTTTTTCTAGAACTCTGAAAACTCAATATTAACAATTCAATCTTTTAAAAAAGAGATATGATTTGAACAGACACTACCCAGAAAGATATGAAGGCAACAAGCATATGAAAAGATGCTTGAGAACGTTGGTCATTAGAGAAGCACAAATTAAAACTATGAGATAGGACTACATACTTATTGGAATGGCTAAAATTAAAAAGCCTGATCATGCCATGTGTTGGCAAGGATGTGGAGCAACTGGAACTCCCTTCCACCGCTGGTGCAAATGTAAAATGGTACAACTACTTTGGAAAACAGCTTGGAAGTTCCTTTCTAAAATATTTTATTTTGGGGGATATGCAGTAGCTATACTTATTTATAGGGTACTTGTGATATTTTGATACCAGCATACAATGTGTAATGATCAAATCTGGGTAATTGGGATATTCATCCCTCAAACATTTGGAGGTTTCTTAAAAAGCTAAAAAACCATAAGCCTACCATATGATCCACCATTCCACTTCAAAGTATTTACCCAAGAGAAATAAAAGCCTATGTCCAAAGACTTGTACGTGAATGTAATAGCCCCAAATTGAAAACTACTCCACATGTATTAACAGACGAATGAGATATAACATATCCATACAAAGAAATACAACTCAGTACTAAAAAAGGATGAACTACTCGTACACGCAACACTATGAATGAATCTAAATTAATGCTGCTGCGTGAAAGAAGCCAGGCATGATTATGTTCACGTAAAATTATAAGGTAATTTAAACTAAAGTAAAAGGCACACTAGTCTTAATCTAGTGACAGAAAGCAGGGATCAGTCATTGCCTGGGGACAGAGGGAGTTACAGGGAGGG